TATATATATATATATATATATATATATATATATGTGAAAGGAAAAAAAAAAGACAGTGTTTCAACGAGATTAAAGTTAATGGAAAGAAAGAAAGAAAGAAAGAAAAAAAAGTGGGAATGGGGAATGAAAAAAAAAAAAAAAAATGATGGGGTTGAAATATCTGCTATGCATCATGAACATGAAAATCTCTGAAGTGAAGAAAAATAGTATACAAATGTTGTAGAAGTGAAGTATCCAAGTGATTGCTAGTATTTACCTTTTTTTATCTGATTACAAGGAAAAGAAAAATGAAATGCTGTGCTCAAGTTTTTTTTTTTTTTTTACAAATATATATATGCTGATCGACGATTGTGTTTTTTTTTTTTTTTTCTGGGTGTTTTTCTTCTCCTGTGGAGAGAGTGTTATGGGGATTGTTTTCAACGACCCCCCTCTTCATCTTATCTTTATCTATTTCTGTTTCTCATTTCTTCTCTCTTTTTTTCTTTTTCTATGTTTATTCCCCTTTAGTTCTTCTACTAGAGTACACATCCCCATAGTGGCTACTTTGAACGTACATATCTCAGAACTGTTGTAAGCCGCACCTCACCTCACCTCTCTTTGTTTGTTTTCTTTCTTTCTTTCTTTTCTTTTCCTTTTATTATCTCTACTTCATATACCCCAAACAGGGAGAAAAGGAAAAAGAAGAAAGAAAAAGAGAAAATGGAACAAATAGGTGAGTTTGTGGTGTTGGCCTATCACGATGTGCGGGATGCGGCTTCACTGCACGGCCACTTCAAACGCCGCGGCATTGACGCTGCGGTGATTGACGCCGCGTACATCATCTCACGGCTGCATCTCGCCGTCGCCCTCCACCGCATCACCCGCAGAGTCTTCACAATGGACAGCAATAAAGAAAACAATAAAGAAAACAACAAAACAATAATAAGTGGTGGTGTTGGGCAGAAGTCATCACCAACGGCGCGGGATGTCTTTGCGGCGCTCTCACACACGCGAAACCTCGATCGTGTGTTGCGATCTCTCACGTGTTCAGAGACAACGACGGCTGTTGTGATTGTTTTGTGTGCCCCGTCGGCGGAGCACATTGCGGGAGTTGTGAGTACAGTCTCTGGAGTACAACACGAGTTATCGGCGCTGCCAACATATACAAAGGAGGCGGCAGTGCGGGAGTTCTACGGTGTGAATAGTAGTGAGACATCTTTAGTAACAACAACAGCCACAAGAAGAGAAATAGGAGGAGAGATGGCTGGGTTGGAAGTGACGGTGGTGAACCGTCTGGCCACCAACGACATTTGACCTGTAGTTTTTTTAATTTCTCTCTCTCTCTCTCTCTCGATATATATATATATATATATATATATATATATATATA